TCTTTGCAGCTGAACCCAACAACTTGCAAAGGCTGTAGAACAATGTCTTCAATGTACAGTGAAAACTCCTCTCCCTACAGTCAAGATGTAAAACTAGACAGTTAAAAAACTTTCTATACTGTGAACTTTTAACTCTAATTGCATCTCGCCCCAGGGACCCACAGGCTTGCTCTATGATTAACATTTTAACAAATTCAGTCAGCTTTGCTTTTCAGGGAGCAAAATTGGTTCTTTGCCTGGATTCAGTAATTCAGCCCAAGCAATTTAATGGCAGAGCATGCATCTTCAAAAGATTTGTTTTAATTCCCACAACAGGGGCAGATTTCAGAAATCAAACAAAACTTTATCTGCTTCAACTATATTTGTACATTCTGTGCAGGGCATCAGTTAGCAGTGATCATTTACCACTCACTACAACAAAATTTTGGAGTTTGCTTTAATTTTTTGCTGTCTCTTGCTAGAATAAAAATAGAGAAGTTTGTGTAGGAAGCAACTTTCAAAAGCTGTGGATGGAAAAGGAGTAACTGAGCTACTGCAGATCCAGAACTCTGGACCTACTACACACTCAGAATTTCTGTGTCCTTTAAATACATGTTTACTCTGACGTGTTCTCTGCCATATGGCAATGCTCGGCTCAGCACAAGGGAGTTTTTCATTGGAGTTATGTGCTAAAGTCTTTCATAAATACTAACGGGAAAAGGAACACTAAGGAGTATAAAGGGGAGGCTACAGCCCCTCTCTGAACCAGGGGTCTGCAGAAATACATAGCCACGATTATAACCAGCAGGAAGGTGGAGGGGGGCCATGCCAGCTGCCAGCAGGACTGGGGAGTGGGGAGGAGTAAGAGACTCTCTCCAAGTCTTCTCTAAAGCTTCCCTGCTGAAACACCCTGTGAAGGAGGGAATTACACAGAAAAAAACCCAGGAAAACAGAGGTGCACAGGGTAAGCAGCCCTCCAGATGCTCAGTACTTTTGTAAGCACAAGTGTGCAGGAGACTAATCACAGATAAGAGTGAGAAAAACCTGCTGTCCCACCCACTGCTACTGCTCCATGTCCAAGGGTCCCAGGCATTGTATAAACCCACAAATATCAGTAATAAATTCCTGATGATCTTGTTTGGCAGTTGAATTTTTATTTTACCAGATATTTGTATGCACAGCTCCAGTTTGGGAAGCAGCAAGATATTGACCATGGACCAAGGAAAGACCAGTCTTCCATCCACAGCCAGTAGGTAAGAGCTCCTTACAGGTGTAAGGCACTTAAGCAGCTTGCTTTCTGCTCCCACAAAATGAGTGATGAAGTCTGAATGACAGTAAACCATAGTGAAAGTCTCAATGACAGTAAACCTCCAGGTGAAAACACTGTCATCCAGCTAAGGACATCCTCACTCTCTGCTGGGTATTAAAAACTGCTCACTGTACCCATAATAAATAACTTGGCAGGGGGAGATTTTAAGTGGGGACTATGCTAGTGCTGGGTTGATGGCTAAACTAGATGATCGTAAAGGTCTCTTCCAACTTGGATGATTCTGTCATTCTTTGATTTTGAAATTAACCCCAAAACACAGAAGGACTGGAACTAATTTCCAACATCCTCAGGGAATACTGAAACCATCCCCCAGAGATCAGTTGTTAATGTGGAAGAAGTGTCTCAGTAGCATTTTGAGCTTCACAATAATTACTAACATTAATAACATCCACACTAGCAAATCCCCGCACTGCTCATTTACGAGGACCAGAAATCTCTCCATCCACCCATCCTTTCCCCTTCTCATATATTTGCATTTAAAATTAGCTGGGGAATGAAATGTCTACAGTTTGGCACAAGGTCTAGCAGAACAGGACTTAATATGGCACAAAAAATAACAAAGTGAAAACAACAACTTTGTAAGTAAATGGGAAATAAAAAAAAGAAGAAAAAAAAAAAAGGCAGGCAAAGATTAAGGAATTAAAAAGCAAATAAATGACTGAGTGTATTGTCAAAGGTGGGTAGAAGATGATGTGCATCAGGCAAAGTAGAAGGAAGAAAGTTATTATTAACCGCACTTACTATGATAGTGTCTTTCAAATAATTAAGACTGCAGTCTCGCTGTGGCAGGCACATATAAAAACATGGCCCCAGGACAATTACAGTGTAAACAGACATGAGACAAAGAACAAAGAGAAAGAATATAATGAACCCTCAGAAAAATCAAGTTAATTGAGGACAAACAGCATTAGAAGGCTGCATTGTTTCTTGGCACATATTTAATTAGAAAGGCATGAAGTAAAACAACCATCAGGTTTAAACTTAACAGAATTAAACAATGGGAAGAGAGAAGGAATGTGAGGTATATGCTCTGAATACCTTGTTTCCATGCAGGTAGTTTTTATCACAGTGAAGAGGATTATTAGTTTTATTGCTGCTACTAACACTGCTGAAAATTACCTGTCTTGTGGTGATGATTCTCGGAGTGGCAATAATCGCTAACTGCAAGGGGGCTGCTGACACGCTCTCTTCTAATGTATATTGCAGAGCTGATGATGAAAAAAATCTCTCCAGGCCTCAGCTCTGCCAAAATTTCCCTTCATGCCTATTCAAATTCCACATTTGATTTCCAGACCATGAAAGGAATAGTAAAAATCTTTTTTTGTTTTGCCTTTTCCTATTGAGGAATATTTCACTCTCCACAACTGGATACTGTACTGATTTCTATGATTTATGTTTCAATAGTATCAAACTGAGATCCAGTTTTCTTAGGCATTCCACTGTTGGTAATCTCTGCTCCCAAAGACCTTACATCTCTAAACGCATAAAGCCTGAGTGAAATTTAAAGAAAAAAAAAAAAAAAAGCACAAAAGAGCAGGTTGGAAAAAATCAGCACTATTTGCATATAATAGAAGAAGCTACAGTTGTCATTCAAAGTCTTAACACAGCTCACCATCTACTTGGCTAATTCTGTTACTGGCATTTTTCCAAATTCATTACTGCCTGCAAGGATTTTTAATGAGGATAAGGTGATGTGAATGAAGTTCATATAGTGAACTGATTTAGGGAAGTTTTCTGGGTTTGCACATGAGTACCACATAACATCTTCTGTGAAGATGGAGAGCATTAAGCAATGACAGACTGTTTTTTACATGCATGTACCACAATGACAAAACAAAACCAACAAGCACATGAAATGAAACCATTCTAAGACCACAGTTAAGAACAGAAAGCTTTCAACCCAAAACCATACAGGTCAGGTCTTCATTGCATTTCTTCTTCCTGGACAGAAGAGGGGGAGAGGAAAGAAGGGTCACTTAGCTGTGGCCTAAAGCATATCAAATAAATTTTTTTAGGCAGGAAGGACAGCTGTTTCCCATAGCTTCATTTTGAACTAAATTCTAAACACAAGCACATGTTCTGTCTGAGTGTTGCTCCAGCTCCTGCCCGGATGGCTAAACAGCATCCCTCGATAGACACGAACCCCTAAGCTCCGGAGAGAGGTCCTCAGCAAACCCCCATGCTGTTCAGTGGCTGACTGCCTTAGCTAGCGTCTTCCTTACAGCTGGGACACGGCGTTTGCACATGAATTTCAGCTTCTTTCAAATGTTTCTGTCCCCAGATTGGACGCAGGAGCTCGCAAAGCCGAGGCAGAGCCTCTCCTACCAAAGAAGGTAACAAATACAAGCAGCCGAGCCGCCCTGGTGCTGACTGGCGCGGCTGCAGAGCCGCACACGCTGCTGACCCCTGCAGCCTCAGCTGCGCCGTGCGCTGCCCGCACCCCGCGCGGGGACAGGGACAGGGACAGGGACAGGGACAGGGACAGGGACAGCGCTACGGCTGTGCTGCACAGCCCGCTGCAGGACTGCATCCGCCTCTGGATGCCACCGGCCTCTGCGGCCACCAGCTCGGGAAGGACACGGATCTAGAGAGAGTCCAGAGGAGGGACACAAAGATGCTCTGAGGGCTGGAGCACTTCTCCTTTGGAGATAGAACTGGGGCTGCTCCGTCTGGAGACCTCACAGCAGCCTTCCAGTGCCTAATGGGCTCTAACATGGGAGCGGATTTTCTGGCAGGGCCTGGAGTGACAGGACAAATGGGTTATGGTTTTAAACTAAAAGACGGCAGATCTAGACTAGAGGTAAGGAAGAAGTTTTTACAGGGAAGGTGGTGAAACATTGTCATAGGCTGCCCAAAGGTAGAGTAGATGCCTCATACCAGGAAGCGTTCAAAGTCAGGACACAGAGGGCTCTGAGCAACCTGATCGAGCTGAAGACGTTCCTGCTCTCCTGCTTAGTGCAGAGGGATTAGTGTAGATGAACTTTAAAAATCCTTTCCAACCCGAACCCAAAATCTGTGATTCTGTGCCTCAGCACACACACAATCCCCTCTCGCAGCAACAAACTGCCCTGCTGGGGTGGCCCCGGGGCACAGCGCGGGCTGTGCCCCAGCTGCGGCTCTCACACCCCCGGCAGCACAGCGGAGGCACAGCGGGAGCCACCGAGCCGCGCAGGGGAGCAGCAGCTCCCGGCAGCGGCGCGCACGGAGCCGGGCACGCCACGGGCCGGCCTGGAAATGCGGGAGCACACAGGGACCGGCCACAGGGACCGGCCACAGGGACCGGCCACAGGGACTGGCCACAGGGACACACGGGCCCGCTCCCGCCACGCACGTTCGCGCGGCCGCCACCACGGGCACGCGCGGGGCGGGGGCAAGAGGCGGAGGCACCCTCGGAGGAAGAGGAAGAGGAGGAGCAGGAGGAAAAGGAAGGGGGAGAGGCGGGCGTTCCGCCACTGCCCGGACACTGGGGCCGGTTTCTCGGCTGCTGCGGCGGGCCGCGGCCGGCGGTTCGGCCTGGCCTGGCCCGGCTCGGCCCGGCCGCAGGTAAGGGGGTCTCAGGGAGCCGCGGGTCGCGCACACGGGCATGCCGCAGGCAAGCGCAGTGACCTCCGCGACACGCAAACCGGGAAGGTGGAGGCGACAGGCACGGTCACACACCCACGTACAGCCCTCCTTCCCTGCTCACCGGAGGGACACCCGCGGGAAGCAGGCCGCCTCCCACGGGACGCCACCCCCGTCCCGTGACGGCCGCCCGGCATGGGAAGCGCGGCTGCTCCCGCGGCTCCCAGTGTGCCCGGAGCTGCCCGCTCCTCAGAGCTCCCACCCAGCGAAGGCAGCCGGCCTGGCCAGCACAAGGATGAGCGAGATGCACAATGCGAAACACTCGTGTCTGCCGTGTTAGGCAAAGAAAAACCCTTCCATAGAAAAGGATTTTTTTTTCCATACAGCTATGGCTATATTTATTAATTTAAATAGTGTCAGAGAATGAAGGAGAATATCAACAATACCATGTGTTTAGCAGAGCAAGGTCAGCATTTCCTTAAAACAAGCTGCTGTTCCATTGCTGAGATACTGTTACTTAATTTTATAAATGAGTAGCTCTCAAAGGCAAGCCAAGCTCCTTTGAATGGAAGATGAATTTAATTATATCATTCTATAATGGAGCAGTGATGCCTAGATTGAGGACCAAGTCTGCAGTGCATGATCCAGAGCTGTTTTATAAAACCATTTAAAAAATAAGGACATCATGGCTTTTGTGTGGCTGTGCACAAAGATACTTGAGTGTTGGCAGTGGGTGTTCAGTCATAGGGCTGTAGTCAAAGCCAGACAAAAACCTGTTTTTACAGGGAAGACAAAACACTGGTTTTACAGGTATCTGGACTGGGCACAGGCAGAGTCCAGGGCAGGAAGGGAAGGTAGCTCTAACAGCTGGTTTTTGGCTGCTGTGGAAATCATCTTATTTCTTCTCTGTGCCCTGTGGCTAGCTTGAGTTCTGGATCCAGCTGTAGCACATAGTTGTTATGAGACTGCCCTGTTCATGACCTCATCTCGTTCCTTCTTCAAGCAGTTTGCATGTATGTTGTCCCTGCTACTGAGGTATGCTATCCATGCCAGCCTCCACACTGTCCCCTTTTCAGACTAAGTTTATTCACAGGCAAGTCATTTTACTTGTTCCTGTACTAACACTGATTAGAATTATAAATAGTTTTTTATCCTTGCTGATGGTTTACACTATTTCCATGTGTATGTATGCACATGGCTGCATGTTTACACCATGTCATATATGTGTATATATATGTGTATACATTTATGTATTTATAGAGCAGAGTCACATTCCCTCCTGAGCAAAAGGGGTCTCACTCTTGCCAACTTCTGTGGTATGACACATGTTTGGTTTCCTGCATCATCCTTGGCTTTTCCTGTAATTGCTTCCTTTTAAACATAAAATAGGAAAACTGCAGAGAATACTCACAGATTGCTCTTTATTTCCAAAGTTTTTTGCAGCTGTTAGAAAATGGACGGTTTCTGAAGACTCAAACAAAATGCAAATAATGGGCAGCTGCAGCAAAATTGCCAGAGGAATTTCATGAACCAGGGAAGAATGGGAAAAAAATCCAATGGATGAAATGTCTCAAAGATGAATTTCAGTAGTCTTTAAGCATGGGTATATTTGGAAGCATGCTAGAAAGTTTATAGCTTCATGAGTACCATGTCAGGATAGATGCCTGTAACTATTTATATTAAAAATTGAAAGTGAGGAGAAAGGAACTGGAAGTGTTAGATTCTTTAAAGAAGTTCAGGCTCAGATTTGAGGATACTGAAGGTAACATCAACTCAAACATTTTGCTCATTTGGTCAAATCCCTTTGTTACTGTAAAAGGACTGTTGATCAACGATTCCACATAGTAGCACCATGTATCATTGTAAGAGTAGTTACAAACACTAGGGTTTACTGAACTGCGGTCAAGTCTTTCTAATATAACTAGAAGAATCTGATGGGATGACTTTTTTTTCTTCTTCCTCAGAATGAGTGCCTTGTGCACAATGAAATATTTATGCCAAGTGACCAGAAATGAGAACAAATATGCAAAAAGGTTCTTTGGTACTCTTCTGACACAGACAGCACAAAAGTGGCTCTTTTCTCCACTCTGGATAGTGATACCTGACCCTAAGAAGTCAGCAGTGTTTGGGCTTACTCAACCATTTTGTACAGATGAAAAATCTCACGCACAACAAAAAAGTAAAGCAGCATTTGGAAGTGTTGGGCGAAGAATTCCCTATCGCATTTTGCACGTAATCGGCCAGGATGGGGAGAGCTTAGGAACCATGCACCGAGCAGAGGCACTCAGACTTATGGATCAAAATGGCCTGAAGCTGGTTTTGCTTCGTGAGAATGTAGAACCTCCAGTTTACAGACTAATGACTGGGCAGCAGATTCACGAAGAACAGCTTAAACGTGCAGAGAAGAAAAAAGCAAGTCCAAAGCCAGGTATGTGCACTGTAAACACTACAACACTGAGGACTTTGAAAAATGCTGCATTAAAAGTGGTTTCAAGAGATTAAATCCTCTTACTTGTATTTGTGTAAATCCAAAGCAATGTCACGGCAGTCCACGCTATTAAGGATTTGCAGTGGTGAAAATAAAATTTTGGATTAGTCCAGTCTTGCACAGAGAAGCCTTCTATTGACCTCTCAGGATTTGCTATTTTGGCATCTCCTGACTTGTTAAAAAGTATCTTTATTTGAGTGAATATAACTAGGCTCTGGTTCCATGAGACGCACTGAATTTCTGTTCTTTTACTAAGGCATAGAATGGCAGGCGGTTTTCCAAACTAAGGACCACATACACCAATATAATTATATAGTTTGTCACCAGTAGTCATGAAACATTTTCTTCCTCACTTGCTGCTAGGAAGACAAAGTCTGAAGCTCTTTCTTGTACAGAGTAAGAGAACTTTTTCAGTATTTAACACTTTTCAGTTTGTTTTGTTTTTTTTTTTCCTTAAGACTGCCTGCTCTTTACTGTTTGGCAAAGAGGTTTTAGAAAAGGCATGTGACCTTGTATCCCCTCATATCCTCAGGCTAACAAAGATAGCTGTGCTTTGGGTGCAGTTCTAATTTTAGAGTAGTGTATTATTGTGGTAGTGAGTTGCTCTGTTCAAGAAACCAGAATTATTGAGATAGTAACTACTTTAGAGAAACTTGAAGGAGGAAGAGACTGTAGATTGTTCAAATATATTACAAGGCATTCTCGTACTTCCAGTTGAATATTGCACTTCACCATCCAATAAAATGGGCTTGAGATGAAGAGCTATTTAACATCAGAGCTTTTACCTTTGGCTGTCCTACATGCCAAACACAGGAATTTGCACAATAAGTCTTTAATTCCAGATCCAGTGTTTACCTGTTTGTTAGACCTACATTGTGGATCATATGAACAAGACTGTAATTAAAAATACCTTAAGCCTTCTGACCCTGATGAGATTTTTCCTGTGTGCCTCAAACATGCACTCAGACTCCCATTTGCAGCAGTGAGTGCGAGAGTGCACCACCCTCTTAGGTGAGAGTGGTGCATGCTGAGACAATGAGATCTCTGCTCTGAGAAAGCAGCATGGGAGGAGGGAGTCGAGCAGACAAAGCACCATAAGCTGACAAAAGAGAGCAACTAGTACAGGTTTGTCAAATGTTAAGCCAACAGAGTTTCAGTTCTGTTTTAAACAGGGGTGGTTCAGAAGGAGTTATCCTTTTCTTCAGCTATTGCCAAGAACGACTTAGAGACCAAGACTAAACAGATAGCACAGTGGATTGAAAAGCGACACCATGTTAAAGTTACCATCCGGCAAGCAAAAGGTAGCAGTACAGACATGGTAAGTGCACTCCTGGAAGTTGGACCCGTCAGTGTCATTAAATAGCTGCAGCTGTATTGACCCTCCTTATTGGGTACTGCCACAATTTTTAGTATCTCAGTGAAGATCTAGGTCCCATACCTTCCTTAAGCTGCTCCTGTTCAAACACTGGTGAAGTAGTCCCAGAGAAACAGTTCAAATACCATGCTTCCTTAAGAATCCAGCTGCAGTACTGGCTTGGACAGCAGGGTCTAAGCAGCTCCTACTCCTATGCAGCACCACCCTATTAATGGGGCCAGTGAAATTTTGTGATCTATGACTTCAGCCAGTTCACCCACTCTGAAAACTTTAGCAGTGCAGTTAAAAAAAAAAAATCTGTATTTTAGCTGGATTATTTCACCAACAGTTCTTCTGGAGCTGCATTTATACAGCTTTGGCTAAGGTTAGTTGTCCATTCCTACATGAAAAACTATTGGAATGGCGTTCCAAGACTAGCAAAGCGAACATTACTAAAAATGTTAAGCAGCTGATGGCAACTTCCCAGTATAATTGCAAGGCCTTGAGATTTCACTGTCATTCACAAAAATAGATTTTTTATAAATACTCTGTAAGACATTTTTTTCTCCTCATCATGTGTGTAGTGAATTAGGTGTTCTTGACAATTGTCTCAACTAAATTGCTGGGGAAAATTGTGATAGCATTTCATCCAAAAAGAACAAAACTTTTTATAGGAAGTTAAATTCACAGGGAAAGATTAACAGGAAGAACTCATGATGGGAGGGAACAAAACATTTCATGACATAGTCCTGATTTATACTGTCCTTACAGTTAAAAGCTTAATAGTGAGATTAGGAATTCAGTGTGTTACATGAATGCACTGTTACTCAGTTCAATACTACCAGGTCTTGCTAACCTTAGAACAATGCTACCCCTTAAGAAAAAAGTCTCATATAATAACATACCTGAATCTAGAGGAAGAGGAGGGTGCAGAGGAGTCAGATGCAAACCACTCTAATGGACACCCTTAAAGAGCAAAACACTGTGAGTCAGCAGTACAGCTAGCGACTTGCCTAAAACCTGCTTATGAGTAAAGAAGAGTTAGGCAAGGACAGGCTGAAGTGCTCAAACTAGGACTTGCAACTAGCTTGTTTCAGCTAATAGCTAAGCTTAACAGGTCATGTTATTACAGAGCAGCTTGAAATATTTTTCTACCTGTATTTGGGCATTCATTTAGTTCCCTTTTTCTCCTCCTTTTTAGTTCATGCTTTTTGATCAAATTTTGGAGACTGTGTCTGAGAAAGCAACTTACCTTTCCAAGCCAAAAGTTGCTAGAGAAGGAGTGAGTACCTGTATTTTCAGGCACATGTCTGACAAAGAGTTGAAAGAACACCAGAAGATGGAAATCAAGAAAAACAGTACAGTAAAGAAAGATGAAAACGAAGATCTGAAATCAAATGAGTTGCATCAATGACTTTCTGAAGAAGTGTAAACAATATGTATTTATCAAAAAAATAAAATTTAAGAAAATTAACTTTAGTATCTAAAGTTATTGTTGAGCTTTGTGATGGTTATTCCATGAAGAACACTGTCCTGGTTAACCTTTGCTACAGAGTCCGAATTTCAACAGCTGGTATTCCATTTTCCATGAGCTTATCTGCTGTCTTGCAGATAAGACAGCATCACAACTTCATCCTTTCCTGGCTGCGTTTTAGGAGGAATGTAGCCACTGAGATGAGAGGCTAAGCTCCTCTTGGGACCAGAACGTTTTGCCTGGCAGAAAAAGATCCAGAATTAGTAAACGTATATATCTGTGGAGCAGAGATACTGTTGTGGTGGGGAAAAAAGAAATCAGTGTAGAGGACAGGACTGCATTAGCTAAAGAAACTTCATAAATTAAGAATCTCACAAATTACCTAGATTTTCCTGTTTTTTCCTGCTTGAAGTCACATTCTAAAACAGTAACATTTACCCTCCTCTGCAGTGACAGCGTAGGGGTGAGAAGACTTTTCCGAGAGTGTAACTTACTTTCAAGTTCAGCTTTCTCTTTTCAGGATCATGTACAACTGCATGCCTTGCTAGGCTCTGCTGCAGTTACAAAGAGCGGGGGGGAAAAGAAAAAGAGTTGAGTTTATATTTTCAGATAATGGGATTCAGATCAGAACAGTCAAAAAACACATACCTTCATTGCAAACACTTTTCCACAGTCTGGATAATCACAAGAGAATGTTTTTTTCTCCTCGTGGAAAGAGAGGATATGACTTTGAAGGTTAAATAAATTTGTGTAAGTTCTTCCACATCCTTCTCTGGGGCAGCGGCAGACTTCTCTCTCCACAGCATGTGTCTTTTGATGCTGCTTGAGGTAATCCTTCCGTTTAAAAGTTTTGTTACATTCACTGCAGACTATTGGCTCTAAGTGGGAGAAAGAAGGGCAGAGTATAAATAAAAAATTTCTTACAGAAGATCAGAATCAAACCCTAGTGGTCTATTAGAACAATGGTAACATCAACACAAAATACAAGAAACGTATAGACTTCAGGAGGATAATGCAGTATGAATTATCTAGATCTGAAATCCTACATAAAACAATTTTTTGTTAACTGAATCACAAAGTTAAGTTAGTATACTGAGCAGAATTTTCATCAAAGGTCTAGCTGGAGTGAGAGCCACTTTACCAATAAAGTTAGTAGACAAGTTTGGGACACACAGATAAGTTGATGAAGTGAATACAGCAAGGACTCCAGATTAACAGTTGGTTTCCTATTTGTATCATAAGTTTACTAAAGCAGTTGGAATTTACCTGCATGACTGACTTTATTATGTTTCAGAAGCTCTGTCCACGTTTTTCCTATATACGAGCAGTTTTCCTTCTTGCATGCATAGCCTGTTGGATGGGACAGATGTTTACAATCACAGAGGGTCTGGCAAACAGTCCAGTTTTACAAGGGGCAACTCCACTTCCAGCATTTGAAAATTAAAAGCCAGTAATTCCTTCTCTCTTCTCATATTGCACAGTAATGGGATAAGAGATAATAAACAATCAACACAAATTAGAACAAGAGAAAATCCTAACAGTTTTAAATAAGAAACCTTGTATCACTGACACCAGAGAGGCTGTAGAAGCCCTAGCCCTGGAACCATTCAACACCACTGGATGTAGTCCTCAACATCCTGGTGTAACTGGCCCCATTTTGAGCAGGGAGCTGGACCAGGTGACCTTCAGAGATCCTTTCTGACCTAAATGATTTTGTGAAACTCTCTCTCCTTGCTCCAGTAAAGCTACTTCCTCCCAGCCATATGCTTTCTCTCAAATAGATGAAAATAACTAGGAATATATATTACTTCTATATAAATATTTGTCCTGCATATTAAAAATAAATACTGACCATGTAGTAGTATTCCAGAGTCTAAAGAGATTTTACCATTCTATCAAGCAGGCAGGAACCACAGAAAGTCACCACTATTTAAATCCCAGGACCGGAATCCTCAAAAACCTATGAACAAGTCCTTGTCTTAAAAAAAAGGAATCACTGTACAAATCACAGCCTTCTGGTTACTCTTCCTAGTCTGTTGGGTTTACTTGGTTTGGTTTTGGTTTTTTCCTATCACTGGAAAGCTGGTTATTGTACATGGCCACATTATGATGATTTCACTTAAAAGCCTCTCACATAGGTTAACAACTAAAAATACACATGGTTCTTCTGCCAAGGCTCCATAGGAAATCTGTGGCAGAACTGGCCACAGAATCTAAACTCTGGACATATAGGCTAATGCCTTTACCACCAGCCCATCTCCAAAAGATGAATTATTTGCAAGGAACCACCTCAGGAGAAGAAATAACTGAAGAAATCCTGAGCTCTGCTCAGACTGCCACAAACACACCACAACTGAACACTGCAATGCCCCGCAGTTATATCCCACTTTACTATTCAAAATGGGTGTTCTTGTCTAGTCCAGATCACAAGGCCCAGAACACTTTCAGATTCCATGCATACTCTGCACTGGAAGTAATCCTTTTTCCTTTACTGAAACACAACTTAAGAAAAACCAAACAGTTTTACCTTCGTGTATCTTCTCATGTCGCTTCAGCTGACTTGGAGTAGAGAAACACTTTCCACATCCTTCTTTATTACATCTAAGTACAAAATAGTAGTTTCATTTCTTTCACCATATCTAGGTACTTTTTGTTTAGTCAAGAACTATTAAAATTAACAAAATAATCCAAGTTTCCCTTCACCTACAGAACTGTGTGTGTCCCCTCACCTTGTAAAAGTAAATTCCATAATAGTTTTTTAATAGACTTGGATGACTTTGAGAGTTAGAACTATAGTATGATTTCCAAATATACAGCAAGTTGAGCTTTAACTGAAGAGTCAAGCCTTGTATCATCTCTACACAGCAGGCTCTTCAAACACAGAAGAACAAAAAGTGGAAGGTTTAAGTGGCTTGTGCAGAACCAGCAAAAAGCACTGACATTTTTGTCTGTCATCCAACCATAGTAGTGCATTTCACTGAAGTGTAATGAACACTCTTGTTAAGTGTGACCCACCTGCAAGAAATACAAGACTGAACTTTGCTTTTAGTAGATCTATAGTCATGTGTTACCCAAATGGAGCTGCAATGCATCATTTCTAATATTAGTGTCCAAGTCTCTCCCCTTTTTCTAGGTACTGCTCACTACTCAATGTCAGCCAAGTCACTGCTTCTTACTGGGAAATAAAGGTAGCTGCATTTTTCATTACTGTGCAAGCTCTTATGCCTGTATTTCAAACTATGAACTAAAAACTGGGGGGTGGGGGGGATGTTGTGTTATTTTTTATAAAACTGCTGGAATGCTGACCTGCCGATCAGTCCGCGTCTCACAAAACAGGATGGGACCCTGACTGGCTGCAGACTTAGGATTTATTATCTGTCTGTATCATACAAGCAAAAAACAAGAGACACAGAGAAACAAACATCCATGCAAATCTAGATCAAAGACAAGATGGCAGCTTATGCAAAGCCTTTTTCTACATATTCTTTGAACCAATAGCATAAAAGAAAAGGTGCAAAGTCATTATACTCTAACTAATAAGAAAAGGACCCACATGGATTTAACATTAACAAAAGGGCTTCTATGAACTTCAAACAATACACAATAATTCATTATATAAGATTGAAATTTTTTCTGTCTTTGCAAAGCATATATCTAGGACTTTTCACATTTCAAACTATCAATAAGTTCTTGTTCTTTCTTGTTCCTTATGATAAATATAAATGTATTTACTTGGTTCTTATTTTCCTAGTTTGCATGAGAGGGTTTTGAAATTTCCCAGACTTTCTTAGTTTTATGTCTACTTTCTGGGGCCTTTTTGCACTTTCTAAAATCTTTTACCTTTTTATATTCCTACAACTCCCCCTCTCTTTTTTAGCTCTAAACTATCTTTGACTTGTCACTTAATTACTACTTTGTGTTACACAGTTTCACTATTGTATATATTTATTACCTTAGGAAAAAATGTTACAAAATTTTTATATGAAGGTACTTTTCTTGTTTGCTTTAAGTTCTATAACTTTCAGTTAAAGCATTATCAATGCTATGTAAAGTCAGGTTTAGTATTTGTATCACATTTTGACAAATCTTGACTTTTCTAAGGTCTCAATTTAAAGGTTAAATTTGTGAGTTACTCTAATTCAATTGTTTCTGTGAGGTTTTACAAAGTTTTTGTAATCTTCTATATTTTTCTCTTGGACAACAAAAACTTCTTTGATCAGTCTGTAATTTGTTGTGAACAATGACGTGCATAAGATATTATCATCAATATTAATACTACAAGATTCTACTTAACTTGCAAAGTTGCTTTGACTAGGGAGCTAAGCTCCACTCATCGAACATATTGTTTAACTATGTTTTTTTGGTTTTAATTTTAGATGTTAAGTCTTTAAAATTTTGTATACGTTTGTGAACTTTTGTAGACAAGTATACTTTTGTATACTGTTTTACCTTTTTATATTCCTACATGCTGAAGTTACCAAGTCACCAAGACTGTTGCTCAAAACATATCACTGAGCAAAGGACTAATACAAGAAATATACTTGCAGCCCTGACTACAAACTAATTTCTTTTTTTTAGAGCCACATCAATGAAAAGGCTGAGAAAATGCACTTATTTTCATCTACAGTGTTTAACTATTAAAGTTCAGTATTAAAATAATCCACATACTTGAAGGGAGGTTCATTGGTATGGTGACACTGATGAACTTTAAGTTGTTGATGCTTCTTGAAAGATTTGTTACAGCCTTCAAAGTCACACTATTGAGGAAATGAAGTTATCATTAGAGGCCAAATAATGACAGTTCAGTTCACGTGTTTGCTTAAATCCCAGTCATGGTATTTGAACTTATACAAGTATCACATAATAACAAGTTGAAGTATTTCACCGGATACACAAGAAGGAGCTTGTTTAGCCTCCACTGAACAGTGCAAAGTGGAGGTTTGTGTGCAAACTCACCACATACTGCTTTTGCTGATTCTGATGCTTGCGCTCAACGTGCTTCTTCATGTTTGACTTTGTTCCAAATTTCTCATTGCACCCATCAGCTGTGCACCTGGAAATGAACTGCATTTTTTATCACTGCTGTCACACACTGACTTGTTCCCGAGGCAGATACAGAAATCATTGTACAAGAACAATACACAGAAGAATTACTGAAACTCACCACTCAAATACAGAAGTTTGCTTTGAAGACACTAAAAGCCAGAGTCCAAGTAAGCCTTTTAATAATGTATTCTTGGGGGAGATCTGCCCATTCCTTTAAGCATTTGTTACAGATGACTGCCAGAATAGGGGTTTGATCCCACCCTGCGTGCACAGTTATGGCAGTGACCATGACACCAAAGGCATTCATGCCCTCTACCACCGCCCTGTTTTAACTTCCTTTCTTTACGAAAAACCACACTTCAGCTTAAGAAGTAAAATCTTGGGCCTTACTTGAACGGCTTTTCCCCGGTGTGTGTGAGGAGGTGTCGGGTGAGGTGGAAGTCCCTCGTGAACCCTTTGCCGCAGCCTTCATAATCGCAAACATACGGCCTCTGAAAGAGAGGAGCTGTTCCAGGGCAAGCCCAGCCCGTCGGGGGCCCGGCCGCCCGGGGAGGCCGCTGTCAGCGGGATGCCCCGGCCGCAGCGGCACGTTGTGGCACCCGAGGAGGTGAGCGGCCTGCCCGGTCCCCAGCGGGGTCACCGCGCGGTCCCGCCGCAGTCACACAGACACTTCCCTCCCAGCCGCCGCGGCTCACCTCGCCCGTGTGCCGGCAGAGGTGAGCGGACAGCCGCCAGGCCTTGTTGAAGGTGGCGTCGCAGCCGGGGAAGGAGCAGATGTAGGGGCGGAAGGGGAGCCCGCCGCTGCTGCCCCCGCCGCTGCCGCCGCTGCCGCCGCTGCCGCCGCTGCCGCCGCTGCCGCCGCTGCCGCCGCTGCCGCCGCTGCCGCCGCTGCCGCCGCTGCCGCCGCTGCCGCCATCCCCCTGCGCGCCGGCCATGTCGGAGGGCACGTGACCGGGCGGGCGGGGCGGGGCGGCGCGTGCTCGCTGAGGCGGGCGCGCGGGTCCGAGGGCCGGGCGCGGGCCCCGAGCGGATCCGCGGGCAGAGCCTGTCGTGTCGGTGCGTGCCGGCAGCCCCCTCACAGAATCACAGAATGTCCTCAGGTGGAAGGGAGTGGCAAGCATCATCGAGTCCAGCTCCTGGCCCTGCACAGCACCATGCCCAAGAGTCGCACCATGAGCCTGAGAGCGTTGTCCAAATGCTTCTTGAGCTCTGTCAGGCTGGTGCTGTGACCACTTCCCTGGGGAACCTGTGCCAGTATCCAAACACTCTCTGGGTGAAGAACCGTTTCCTACTGTCCGACCTAAATCCCCTCTAACACAACTTTAGGTCATCCCCTCCGGTGCTGTCCGTGCCACTACAGAGCAGAGATCAGTGCCTGCCCCTCTCTTCCCCTCTCGAGGAAGATGTAACTGCATTGAGCTCTCCCCGCAGTCTTCTCCAGGCCGAACAGACCGATGGCTGAAGAGCAGCTCCTCACAAGGCTTCCCCTCCACACCCTTCACCATCCTTGTTGCCCTCCTTTGGATGCTCTCTAACAGTTTAATGTCTTTTTTGTATGGTGTCACCCAGAACTGCCCCCAGCACTCGAGGTGAGGCCACCCCAGAGCAGAGCAGGACAATCCCCTCCCTTGCCCTGCTGGCCATGCTGTGCCTGATGCCCCCCCTAGGACACGGGTGGCCCTCCTGGCTGCCAGGGCACTGCTGACTCTTGCTCAACATGCCATTGACCAGGACCCCCGATCCTGTTCCATGGCACTGCTTTCCAGCGTCTCATTCCCCACCTAGACTGTATGAACAACCAGGGCTGCCCTGTCCCAGGTGTAGAATCCAGCACATGGCAGAGGAGATCCAGTCATGCAGAGATTAACATGTCTAATTCTGTGTTCTTTGCCACACATAACAGCCCTCCTGCAGTTTTAGGGACGCAGGGGCTTGCTGCTTCCCTCAGAAGCATTTAATGACTTTTGCAAAAAGCAAAAGTCCTGGAGCAAAGACTCTGAGCAGGTTTGGTTTGGCTCACTGCCTTGCCTGATGTTGAGTCTGCATAACGCTGATGAGCCTCTGGTCCAGACCAGGGGAATCTCATGGGCTCTGACACCAGCCTCTGCTGGATGCTGCTTACCACCTGCCCCAAAATTTGTGTGTTTTCAGCCTAGGTTGTTTGGGATCCTATGGCAGATGGCCTGTCACTCTGGCCTGTGGTCCTGCTGTGTCCCCAGGCCACCTGAGGGCACAGCTAGAGGAAGAGGACATGAGACTAAGTTGAGCTGAGGGTCTGTGATATCTTGCCTGGCACATTCCTGGTACAAACTTGGAGCTGAGGGAGCTGGAGTTGTATAATCTGGGGAAAAAGAGGCTCAGGGGGTACATTATAGCTCTCTACAACTGCCTGAAAGGAGTTTGTAACCAGGTAGGGGTAGGCCTCTCTCTTCTTCCAGGTAACAAGTGAGAGGACCAGAGGAAATGGCCTCAAGTTGTGCCAAGGGAGATTAGATTGTATATTAGGAAAAAAAAAAAAAAATCAGGAAAAGGTTGTCAGGCATTGGAACAGGTTGCCCAGGGAGATAGATGGCTGAGTCACCATCCCTGAAGGTATTTAAAAGATCTGTAGATGTGGTACTTGGGGACATGATTTAAAGGTAGACTTGGCAGTGCCAGATTACTAGTTGGACTCAATGATCTTAAAGGTCTTTTACAACTTAAATGATTCTATGAACACATAATCTGCTCTATTTTGCTCTATTTGAGTTTTCACACAAGCTTTATTTTAGGTGACATCCTTCATCTGCTGCAATTCTCCCCACAGAGTGAGTGTGAGGAACAGGGTAAGAAAGCTGGAATATGATTGTGACAAGGGAACCATCCTGTGGAGAAAAAATTCTCAACCCTTCTTCCTTGTTTGTGTCCTCAGAGCTGTAAAGCCTGAGCAGATGGCAGTGCTTGGAGCAGGCTGGGGAACTGGGAGAGGAAAGACAGGGGGAATAAGGGTAAGGAATCTAGTGTATGGGGACTAGAGGATGGAAGGGATGTGTGAAGTCAGGTGGCAGGAGTGCCAAAAGATGGGAAACCTAATGGCTGTGCACAGCACATTGTGAGAGGGAAGATGCTGGCCCAGAGCAGATCCCCATGGCCCCTGGGGATGTTTCTTATCTCACTCATCTGTAGCAGGATTAAGAGGAGGGCTGCATCAGTCAAACCATCAAGCAGCAATGGCAAGAAATCAGCTTCTTTTCAGCGGGCAAGTCAGTCTGAAAAGAAAAAAGCTTCTAACAAATACTAACCAAAATACATAAAAGAAAATGTTGCTGTGGTTTTGGTTGTTTGGTGGGTGTTTTTTTTTGTTGTTGTTGTTGTTTTTGTGGTTTTTTGTTTTTGTTTTTTTCTGGGAATTGCAATAAAAAACAAACCAAAAAGTTAAAAAAGAAGTTACAATGTTCCTTTTTTGAGAACTTTTTTTCCCTTTCCAGTGAAAGCATGATATTGCTTCAGGCCACTCTAAAACCTAAAACAGGTGAGGAAATAGCATGCAAAGCAGAAAATTTTGGAAATGTTGCTATTGGCTATACAAAGAACAAACATTCTTCACATTGGATTTGTGCTATGCAATGCCAGTTTGAGATTTCAGCAGAGTCCTCTGGGAATTTTAGTCCAGTTTTGGAAATATAATAGATAGTGGGTGGCTCAAGGCTAGAGGGCCTCTCGTTGTCTTGTATTTTTGATGTCTTCTGACTTGGCTATGAGAGGGAGGATTTTGAAGAGTCCTCTAGGAGAGCTAGAGCTAGAAAGAGAGTGGGTTGCCTTTCAGATTAGTTGTTATAATTTTCCACTGTAGGAGGTGAAAGGTAAACTTGCTAAGAGGTAGGCATATGCAATGGAGAAAAATTAAATCTGAAGATAAACATTTCCAGAGCAAGGTCCACGCTGCAGCTGATAAATGTTAATAATCTGTAAACTGAAAGGGAACGAAAACTCAAAAAATGAGGCAGTTCATTTCCTCAAGAAAAAAACAACACAGAACTACTTCATACACATGTAAAACACACAGAGGGTAGTAAATCACAAACACTTTGATTGAAACTATTTATTTAAGCCATGAGGATCTACTCAGAATTAAGTATCAATCAGGGAAAGACTCCACATAGTGCTGTGAATACTCATATCCCTCTGAAGATCTGCTGTGAATGGGCCACATATAATTTTTTAACAAAGGCTGTTTCATTTTCCTATCCCACCATTCTGCTATAAGTAGTGCTATTTACCTCATCTCCAAGGTAAGTTGCTTCTCTTTGTGCAGCACAGTTGAAGTCAAAAGATCTTACGTTTATGAATATTACGCAGAAGTTATTTGAATTAATATTAAAATGAAGATAAATATGTTTAAATGTGCATCCAGAGTAGCTCTGTGATTGCAGAAATTATTCCCCTGCATGAGAAACTTTGGAAACTGAAAGATGACTTTTTTTTTCTAGACTTATTGCAAGCTGAATATTGTTTGCTTGAGGCACCATATCTAGAGGTCTCTTGGCATGTTCCAGTGGTGGTGGGATGCAGCAAGACTGTGATTTAAGAATGACACTAAGTAGTGTTTATGTGTTCTGAACTGGTCCCAGGAAGTTTTGTGACCATGACTGCATTTGTTGTTCAAAATCCTGCAACAAAACCAGACATATGTCTAAAAATAAAAAGCCTTTCTACTTCCCAGAGTAAGGGGAAAAATTGTGATGAAGCTGGCAAGAGTTGTCAGGAAACTTACTGCATTTTTTTGAGATGTCCCTCAGTTATGCATGATGAACTGTCACCTATAAGGTAGGACAGAGGAAAAATATAGCAAAGAAGAAATTCTAGGTTTTTTATTATAGAGGTAAATCTACAAATGTGGATGAAAAAAGCAGGGGTTGGAAGAAGGGTCCTGGTGGGTGGTTGCACTTAAGAAGGATCAGCCCAGACACACTGGAAGTACTTCCTGTGTGTCCTAGTTTAGGGCAAGTTTGGGCAAAATTTCCCTACTTCTCCTCTAATAAACTGGCTGCACAATTATAACTATGAACTATTCATTTTAGGAATAGACTTCAGCACTTTTATAAACTCCCTGGAAGCTATTATACTCAAGCACAGCCTGATGGATATTCTGGTCAGTGTCCTTCTACTGCAAAACTTACGTATTAGGAACAATATTGGAGCTATTCTTGGATAAAAAAAATAAACTTAGGGACTATAAGGGGATTAAGATCTTAAAAACCTTAGGGACCAGAGACACATGCAGGCTTTCACTTTAAGAGACACTATGAATTCAAACAACATAACTAGTAACTGCTCTATACTAACACAAAGTAATTGGAACAAAAATATGATTACAACAAGGCTTTTTTTACTCTCTTGACCCCCACATTGGGCACCAAAATATTTGTCCTAGTTTAGGGCAAATTTGGGAAAAACCCTCTGAAAGGAGCCCCCAGGAAATAAACCCCCACAGCCCTTCCCCACTTACCTGGTTCAGGGAAAAATTTCTTCTGAGAGAGAAGTGGAAAAGAACCTGTTTATTCAATGAACAAAGCACTCTCCAGCACTAAAACAATTAACAACACCAGATGACAACAAAACTATTTCACTACTTTGAAGAGATTAACAAATCTAGAAAGTTTTTCCTGGGAGTGGTCGCCCGGGTCTGGACACTGGGTTTTGCTCTCCGGCATTGGGGATGGCTGCTGCAGATTACAAAGTGCAGGCTCCTGGTGTTTTTTGGTGTTTTCTAGATCTCAGTCTAGAGCAGGTTAGATGGTATTCAGGAAGAGGAAAGGAAAAGCAACAGTCTAGGGAAAGAATTGGACTGCTTAGCTAACCTAACTAGGAAGTAAAGGCAAAAGCAGAAGCAAGCAAAGCAAGTAAGCAGGCAAAGCAAGCAAGCTAAGCAAGCAAGCAAGCAAGCAAAGCAAAGCCAGCCAG